AATCCCACTGGAATTCTGCCTTATTCCTTGTTAATTAATTGGTGGTTAATTGGCGGTTAATTGGTTCCGTTTTTCCCGCCATTCCAGACCGTTCCCAGTTTAATTGGGTCGGTCCTTCCCAGTTTCGTTTTGGGCACCAAGATCCCAAAATTCCTCCTGGATTCCACAGGAATTGCTGGATCATTTCCCAAAATTCCCAACTTTTCCAGAGCCAAATCCCACTGGAATTGTGTTTTATTCCTGGTTAATTAATTGGGGGCTAATTAGTGGTTAATTAGGGGTTAATTGGTCCCACCATTCCCACCATTCCCAGTTTTGTTTTGGGCACCAAGATCCCAAAGTTCCTCCTGGATTCCTCATTAAATCCTCACTAATTCCTCATTAAATCCTCCTGGATTCCTCAGGAAATCATTATTAATTAGTGGTTAATTAATTGGTTCGGTCGTTCCCACCATTCCCAGCCCCTTCCCAGTTTCGTTTTGGGCACCAAGATCCCAAAATTCCTCCTGGATTCCACAGGAATTGCTGGATCATTTCCCAAAATTCCCAACTTTTCCACAGCCAAATCCCACTGCAATTCTGCCTTATTCCTCATTAATTAATTGGTGGTTAATTGGGGGTTAATTGGTTCAGTTTTTCCTGCCATTCCAGACTGTTCCCGGTTTTGTTTTGGGCACCAAAATCCCAAAATTCCTCCTGGATTCCTCAGGAATTCCTTCAACATTTCCCAAAATTCCCAAATTTTCCAGAGCTAAATCCCACTGCAATTCTGCCTTATTCCTCATTAATTAATTGGTGGTTAATTGGGGGTTAATTGGTTCAGTTTTTCCTGCCATTCCAGACCCTTCCCGGTTTTGTTTTGGGCACCAAGATCCCAAAATTCCTCCTGGATTCCACAGGAATTGCTGGATCATTTCCCAAAATTCCCAACTTTTCCAGAGCCAAATCCCACTGGAATTGTGTTTTATTCCTGGATAATTAATTGGGGGCTAATTAGTGGTTAATTAGGGGTTAATTGGTCCCACCATTCCCACCATTCCCAGTTTTGTTTTGGGCACCAAGATCCCAAAATTCTTCCTGGATTCCTCAGGAATTCCTCATTAATTAGTGGCTAATTATTAATAATAATTGGTTTGGTCCCACCATTCCCACCATTCCCATT